CCTTTCTTTTGGTCTCTGAGCGCTTTGCGAAACTTCTGATCCTCTGGGCTACAGGCAAAGAATAATTTGTCTGCTTTGCTCTTAGCCCTGCAACGTTAGTGCTTTGGGGAATAAAATGCAGGGGTGCTGGCTTGGATCTGCGTCCTCATTTCAATGCCTCGTCCTTTGATTGCATGGCTGGCAGGCCTGGGACTTGGATGAGATGGTGGATACTTGGATTGCATTAGAAATTCTGCTTGAGGTTTGGGGTTTTAGCCCATACAGGCGATGGGGGTTGCCCTAAGTCCCTATGCGTTTCCTTGCCCATTTGATATGGATCAGTCACATTCATTTTTATTTTTTTAGAAATGTGCAACAAGAGAAGCAAAGCTTCCTTTTTCTAAACGTAAAGTAGAAGGCCAGAAGGAGAAACTGAGTTCGGTCACGCTGCAGCTGAAGCTTTTCTCTGTTATTTAAATTGCTCACAGGGGAATTCTTCAGAGAATCCTTTCCTGGGAGAAAGCGTGAAGCATTGCAATGGGAGACACAGGCTGTAGCTAAAATACAGGGCACGGATTTCCCAAAACCTGCTCAAGAAGAGGGCCCCTGACCTGTGCTCTGCTGTAGGATGCCATATTCCTGGTCTTCAGGGAGTTTTATTATTTACAGTCTTTTTGCCTGCTGCCATTTGCAGCTGCCTTATGGATTTGGTCTTCTGTGTGTTCCCAGCTGAATGGCACAAAATCTCTCTGAAGACCAAGGGACAAGTGAATTTTACAGGTCAGTTAAAACACAGCTGAAGGAAAAGCCAAGTTGTGTTTCTTGGCCAGCTCTCGAAACCTGCCTGAGTGCTGGCAGAGGTGTTTAATTTTGCTTTCCTCTTCCTTCCCAGTTGATGGGAATTGAAAGAAGCGAGCATGGAGCAAGGCGAGGAAGAGGTGACGCAGGGCACGATGGCTTGTGCTTTGCTCGTCTCCAAAAGTCATCTCTGACAACACTGTGGTATTTTTAGCTGCTTTCACCTGATGGTGTCTAGCTGTCCTTTTCTGTTTTAAGAACCTGGCCTGCAGACGTTGATACATCACAGCTTGGGGAGTAATTATCTTTTCCTGCCTTAAATAAGGGAACTGCTCAAGTCTTACTGCTCTAGTGAACTACAAACTCCCCTTGATTTGGTTACACCAAAGCAGTCCCAGTGGACACTTGTTTTGGTGGGGGTCCCTGCTCTCCAGGCATGGGGCAGCTGCCTGGGAGCCCAAAGGGATGAAATCACTTTGTTTGCAGAGCTCCTGGCATTTGTCAGCTTGGCTCCCTCCTTGCTTTTTCTGCAAACACACTCTTTTTTTCCAGGAATTTTAAAATAGCCCACGGTCTGAGGCCAAACGCATGGGCTCTGCCTTGCCTGATGCACGAGTGCTCTCCAGGGAGTGGTGTTTTCCTTCCTTGCTTCAAGGACTGAGGAGCAGGATGAAGCTCTGCTGCTGAAACGAGGGGCAGAACCTGGAAGCTTGGATTTGTTCTCTATTCAGGAGCTGGACTGGAGGAAAAACTGCCACTGGGGAAAGGGTTTGGGACTGCCTGGGAGCCAAGAGGTCCTTTGTAATCCTTTTCCCACCACTGGCCTGATGCAGAGCCTTCACTGACCTCCTGCCTCACCTCTATTTATTTACCCCTTAAATACAGGACTTTGCTCTGAGCTAAGAGCTGGAGCAGTACGAGGGCAGGGAAAGCAGATGTATTTCCTTCCAGTACTTCAGGTTTCTTCTGTGGCCAGAGAGGATGGTTGGGCGTGAGCGATAAGCCGTGCTCTTCCTCTTCGGCTGTTTGAGGATGGGCTTGGTGTTATTTTTAGTGCCCGCATGTTAAGTCAGTGTTTGAAAAGTCCGTCTGGAAGCCTTGAGCCTGTCTGCTTGGAGGCCTTTCCCTTTGTCTAATTTGGGCAGTGTTACATACTTGGAGATCTGCCTGGGGATTGGGAGACCTTGTAAAAATTCCTGCTAACAAGCTTCTGTCCCTTAAGCACTTGCTGCACTTGGAGATACTTATTCATCAACTGTGAGGCATCTTTAACTGCACAGAGGGAACAGATCCTTTTCAGTGGCTGCTGCTGAGACTGATGAGGAGTAAAACCCATCATGTAGGTCACCTAAAATACTTGATGTTGTTTCTCATGGATATAACCCCATGTAATACCCAGAATATTTTCTTCTCCTCTTTCTCTCATTATGAGAGTGGTGGTAGGTCTTACATCCAGTGGGCTGGTCTGAGTTTCTTCAAAAAGAGGTGGCACTGTGTCCGGTAAAGCTCTTTGGCTCTCTTTAACTTGCAGGAGTCAGAGTCTGAGAACAAGCTGGATGGAGAGACAGCATCAGACAGCGAAAGCAAATCTGAATTTGGAGGATCGCCCCCGGTGCCGACATCGGATGACACTCCAGAGGTCCTGAACAGAGCTCTCTCCAACCTGTCCTCAAGGTAGCACTCACTGAGCATCCTTCCCCTCTGCTGCCAGGGCCCCTGCATCTTCACTGCAGCTTTCCAAGCCCTGGCTATGGCTGCTGGAAGCTGAAGAAGCAGCTCTCAGATGTGCTGTGCTCTCCCTCCCTGGCGTGCAAGCAGGAAGGTGCCCCGAGGCCACAGAAGATCATAGAATCACAGACTGGTGGGGTTGGAAGGGACCTCAGGAGATTATCTAGTTCAACCCCCCTGGCAGAGCAGGTTCACCCAGTGCAGGTTGCACAGGAAAGTGTCCAGGTGGGTTCTGAACATCTCCAGAGATGGAGACTCCACACCCTCTCTGGGCAGCCTGTCCCAGGGCTCCGGCACCCTCACAGCAAAGAAGTTTTTCCTTCAGTTTGTCTGGAACTTCCAGTGTTCCAGTTTGTGCCCATTGCCCCTTGTCCTGTCACCAGCCACCACCAAAAAGCGCCCGCCCCCATCCATTTGTTCCCCACACTTCAGATATTTATAGCCATTGCTCAGATCCCCTCTCAGGCTGCTCTTCTCCAGGCTGAAGAGTCCCAGCTCTCTCAGCCTCTCCTCGTAAGGCAGATGCTCCAGGTGCCTCATCATCTTTGTGGCCCAGATGATGGTGATGCTCCTGGGGAGAGCAGAGTGCAGTGCTCAGGGCTGCTGTGCGTGGGATGGGAGAGGACCGGGGGCAGAGGAGGGCTGTGGGAGGGCCGCCTCGCTGCGTGCTTGGTCTTGGCAGGTGAAGAGAGGCCTGAGCGGGGCAGAAGACAGTTGTGTTTAGCTTTGACAGCACGCTCAGCAAAGACTTCAGCTGTGATGGTTTTTAACCACTAGTGTGACCTACTTCTGCAGGAATTAATGCACGAGAAAAGCGTGCTGATAAGGACAAGATTGAAGAACAAACTGTGAATGTTCTCTACAGATTGCTTTGGGGAAAATGCATCTGATTTATGTTACTGGAGGAAGTGTCTCTTGGTGTGCTGTGAGGGTGGGAGAGGTTCAAGGCAGGATCTGTTGGAGAACAACATGGGTACAACATGCTACAGCCCTTGTCTCCTCTTGAAACGGAGTGCAGAGAGGGGTGATGGTCCCCATTTTATTTGAATTTATCCTGCAGCTTGTCCAAGGTGTGGGAAACCTGTAGCAGAACAAGAACACTCTCCTGTCGTGTTTCAGTACCCCTGGAGATGCTCTGCACCTGGCTAATGCTTTCTACATTTAGTGAGGTTCAGGGAAGGGAAGAGAAGACTGAGCTGAGCTGTAGCCTTGCGGGTGCTCCATCCAGGCCTTCATCAGTAGATCAAGGTCTCTCTGCAGCACCGAAAGGAAACTCGGGTTTCCAGGGCTCAGTTTCCTTCCTGTGATGTGCAGAGAGCTGAAGTGCTGTCCTGCTTCTTTGCTTTGTTTTGACTTTCTCTAACTTCTTTCTTTCTCTATGGCCTAGATGGAAGAACTGGTGGGTAAGAGGCATCCTCACACTGGCAATGATCACCTTCTTCTTCATCATTATCTACTTGGGACCCATGGTCTTAATGACAATAGTAAGTGCTCCAGAGAGATGCCCTGATGTTCTCAGCAGTAGGGGTGAAAGCTGTTGAAACCATTGCTGGGGTGGGCAGCTCAGAGCCTCATATTTTAGAGGTCCTTGTTCAGCTTGCTGGATTTCTCTCTCCATGAGGAAACCTGGAGGGAATCTGTGACTGCCTGCCCTGCATTTGGCTGCAATTGAAATACAAGGGGTTGTCAGAAACCTCCTGCAGAGGAAAGGGGAGAGAAAAACAACATGGTGAGCTTCTCATGTTGGATCAGGAGACCTCTGCCAGAGTGACAGCAACTGCTAAAGTATCTTTTGCTCTGCACGTGCATGTTTTTTTATCTCCTTGAGGAAGGAGATGTTTAACCAACATGTATTACAGCTTCCGGGTGTTCTTTTGTGCAGGTCATGTGTGTCCAGATCAAATGTTTCCACGAGATTATCACTATTGGCTATAATGTGTACCACTCATATGACCTGCCCTGGTTCAGGACTCTCAGCTGGTGAGTAGAGGGGCTGCTTCCTTCCCCAGGCCTGTGTACAGCAGTAACACTTCATCTCATTGCAGACAGGCAGGATGGGGATCGTCTGTCTACCTCCAAACCAGAGACCGTGGGTTTGCTGTGTGTTCACCAGTGTCATGTGTTAGCAGCTCTTGTAAAGGGAAAGCCCCCACAAATCTTGGTAGATCAATATCTTGAAAGAGCTCATACTGATATCCTGTTGTTAATGAAAGGCAGAGATTTGAGTCCCATGATCTGTGCAAGGGGCAGCATGGACGGACGTCACCACTTAGATAGGGATGTGGTTGCTTGGGTGGGATGTCAGTTTTTGGGTGGTTGTGAAACAAGGCTGAACATTGGGAGATAGGGCTGGGGAGAGGGCAGGAGTAGGGCTTTCAGAAAGCACAGAGCTGGTGCTTTTAGGATGCCCAAGCTCGCAGAGGCCAGTTGAGGAGTGCCACCTAAAGGCAGAAAGTCTTTGTGCATCAGAAGGCCAGAACCAAACCCCACTGTGATCCATGGATCCATCACAAAGTGGAGCTGAGTGATGCAGCCACTAGTTTAAATGAAGGTGACATTTCTAAACTGGGGGAAATAAAGTTCTGGCTGTCACTTGAAGAATGCCTCTTTGCAGTGTACCAGAGCAGTGTAAGGGCCTTAGGGATCAGTCACTCTCTGTGTTTCTCCAGAAGCCTTTTAAGGGTTCCTACTAACGAGCATCTGCATCCTTCACAGGTACTTCCTGCTCTGCGTAAACTACTTTTTCTATGGCGAGACTGTGACAGATTATTTCTTCACCCTGGTTCAGAGAGAGGAGCCCCTGCGAATTCTCAGCAAATACCACCGCTTCATTTCTTTCGCCCTATACTTAACAGGTAGAGACCACAATTTCTGTTGGTTCATCTTGTTGGGGCTGGAGGGAAGAAATCTCCTTGAACTACTCTTGTCCTGATTATTATGTCCAATGCAGTATCCATAGCAAATCATCTCCGCTCTTCACTGTGAGGGTGGTGAGACACTGGAACAGGTTGCCCAAGGAAGCTGTGGTTGCTCCTCCCTGGAAGTGTTCAAGGCCAGGTTGGATGAGGCTTTGAGCAACCTGGTCTAGTGGAAGGGGTCCAGTTGGAACTGGATGAGCTTTAAGGTCCCTTCCAACCCAAACCATTCTATCATTCAGTGATGCTGTAACTTGGCTGCACGGTTAGAAGAGTGGTGGCAAATCTCTTACATGAGGCTCTGCAGAAGAAAACTCCGTATTCTGTATGGGACAGCCAGACTTGATTGTTCATCTGTCCATTGTAGGCAATGGTATTTTGTGTCTACCCAAGTAGTGTGTTTTCCCACTCTGCATTGCTGCTTTACTCAAGTAAAAAGCTAAGGAGCTGGGCAATGTCATGGTAAAAAAGTATTTCTTACTGTTGAAGATACAATCCCACCATTTACTTTTCTTCTGTCTCTCATCAGGTTTCTGCATGTTTGTCTTGAGTCTGGTGAAGAAACACTATCGCCTCCAATTCTACATGGTAAGGTTAAATGCAGGGCCTGGCTGCCCCCAGTTGGAGGCAGAAGAAGGAATAATGTAGGCTGCTTGAAAATGTTCTGTAGAGGACCACGTCTCAGTAGATGCTTCTGTGCTGGTTGTGCATTGTAATGCTGCCTGGAAGAAGTTAGTGTGAGCAGACTGTACTTTTAGGAAGCTGTCTCTGACCAAATTTCCATGCAAACATGTATCCTCTCTGCGTTTGTGGGTGCTATTAAGAGACTTTCTGCAAGCTGAGAGGACTGCACTAGGCTACTTGACTCTTGTACTGAGGGTAGATTGCCAGTTGCCTATGATGTCCCCCTTTTCTTAAACATCAGGAAGGTGTTGCTTGTGTTTGACCATCAATGCAGTTAGTTTTGCTTTCCAATATATTCAGCACACAGGGATACAGCTTGGATATCTATCAGTCTTCTCCTCCTTTTATATAGTCAGAAGGCTGAGTGAGATATATGGGGTAGGGGTGGGCTAAGGAGCGTTTGGTCCAGCAGAAGTCTTCCCAGTGAAGGTCACCTCTGGGCTTCAGCTGAAGAACATGCCCATAAATTACTACGAGTAACTGTTCCCTGCTCTTCGTGACTCTTGGTGTTTGTTGTGGTGAAGGTGCATGCTAGAAATGCCGATGTGCATGAGCTGTTCTCTGTCTGAGAGGTAGCTAACAGCATCTGATTTCTGCCAGCAATACGTATGGTGGGCAGGGTCTCTAGGCAGGCTGGACTGCATGCTGTCTTCTCTTCCAGTTTGGATGGACCCATGTGACGTTGCTAATTGTTGTTACCCAGTCGCACCTCATCATTCACAACCTGTTTGAAGGAATGATATGGTGAGTTGCTGTGTGTTCTAGTTGCTTCGATTTCTGCAGCCTGAAAAGAATGACTGTGTTTGGAGTTAAAACTGTTTATTTTTAAACAAACCAAATGGCCAAGGAGCAGGTGATTCCTGTGAGGGACCAACCCGTTCAGAGTAGAAAAGCAAAAGATTGAGTGATATATCTCAGCAACTTAGGACTTGCTTTGTGCTACTTGAGCAGTATAGAGTTGTTGTAAAGAAGCATCTGAAAATTGCTGTGGGGTGCAGGGACCTTTCAGGCAGTGTCAGGCCTGTGTAGATTCTTTCTGATGGGAAAGTGCTGCTTGGTATTTGATTAGGGGCAATATTAATTCCAGCATCATGTTAAAAGCAGCACTGGGAAAGGAAGGAGATTTGCAACCTGCCACTTGACTCCAGCTGCTGTGCAGAGGGAAGCCCCTTTGGTGGTTTTCCCAAAACGAGTAGTGCCGGGAACTAATTTTGGTCGCTTTAAGATTGCATGTTCCTCTGTGTGCCATAACCAGCCCAGAGTGCTTTGGGAGCAGCCTGCCTACCGCTAAAATCCAGCCTGTCCGGTGGGAAGGGAGGTGACTATCTAACAGCATGTCATGTGTGGCAGAAGAAAATGTGCTTCAAACAGGCTATTCTGGATACACGACCTGCTTTTTAGTCCAGAGCCCTAGAGTAATCCCCCAGATTTCCTTAGGAGCTTCAAGTGGTTGCTCCTTGCATTGTGTTGGAGGGAGAAGACACTGGTGTGATGACACTGCAAAGCGCCTTATGAAGCAACTGCTCGTTTAGTTAAGTCTTGGAGTTATCTGATCTTGGCACTTTCCAATGGTTTGATTCTTCTCCCATCTAGGTTCATTGTCCCGATTTCCTGTGTCATCTGCAATGACATCATGGCATATATGTTTGGGTTCTTCTTTGGCCGCACCCCACTCATCAAGGTTGGTAACACTTTGGTGGGCAAAACATGCGTTTAACTTCTTTGGGTCTTAGTCCTGTGTTCCCTCATCTCTAGTTTTGTTGCTTTTTGTGGGTCTGAAGCAAGGCTCCAAACTGAATTTGGTGTGCATCCCAGTCTTTGAGGCTGTGAAATGAAACGAACCATTTCAGACAGAGATGTTAGTGTCTAGTTCTGACCAAACACGTATTTTTTAGTTGGCAGCAATTCGTATTTGCTTCAGCAATTTATGAGCAAAGAAGGGCTGCATACGTGTGCGGCGGTGTGTGGAAATGTGCAGTTTGTAATTCTCTCTTTCTCTCTGTCTCTGGCAGCTCTCCCCAAAGAAGACCTGGGAGGGTTTTATTGGAGGATTTTTTGCCACTGTTTTGTTTGGATTGCTGGTAAGTACCAATCATGGTGCTTATTTCATTGGCCTTTTCCCTTTGTAGGGTGACAGGGTTTTGTCTGAAAAATGCACGCAGGCTTTAATGTCTCCCAGTTCTTGCAGAGACTTCACGTTTTCCTTACTGACCAGGACTTGAACTGGTTTGTGGCTGTGCTTTGTGCAGATCCTGTGGATGGAGCAGAGAACTGGAGGAAGTTCTTAGTCCCTGTTAGACCCTGTGACGTGCTCGTTAAAATAATTATCCTTGAAACTTTCTCTCTGCTGCTGTTGGATGAATGCTGCGCATCGTTTCAAGGGCTGTATGAGGAATTCACTCTTGGAATATTTTTATCTGTTTTTATGATGATCTCTGTGTCTGGTTGTTTCCATTCTCTCAGCCAAGTGGTGCAGCCTGTCAGCCTGTTCGAACAAGGCTCTGATCACTGCTTGCTGAGCAGATGCACTTACTAAACGAAAATGCTTACTCTGCCTTTAGCCAATTACTGCTTCTCAGGAGAATAATCTTCTTAATGAAGCTGGGAGTGTGGCTCTTTCCTCGCCATGTCTCCTTGAGTGGCCTTTTCCCTTGAGATCAGCTCTGCCACATGGCTCAGGAAAATATTAATCCTGCTTTTTCTTGCTGTTTCTCTTTTTCTCTCTCCTGGAAGCTGTCCTATGTGATGTCTGGGTACCGGTGCTTCACCTGTCCGGTTGAGTTCAACAACGACACCAACAGTTTCACGGTGGACTGTGAGCCATCCGAGCTGTTCCAGCTGCAGGAGTACAACATCCCCTTGGTGCTGCAGTCCGTGGTGGGCTGGGTAGGACTCTTTGTTTATTGGATCTTATTTTACAGGTAGGAACACCAAGAAAAGAGATCAGGGCTTTACTTTCATGGTCTGTGAGGGAACATGACAAGGGATGATGGTACATCCAGAAAAAGGGGGAATTTAGCTCTGTGTTGGTTGAAGACTCAAAGGAACTATCCCAAGTCTAGTGAGACATTAATCCACTTGAAAACCAACTGGTCTAAAGCCTGGAGAGAACAGAAAGAGGGGCAAGTGGTGGACAGTGCTATTGTCATTGAAAATCCTTCTCTGACCTGTTTTTCTTTCTGCAGAAGACAGTCCGGATGTACCCCTTCCAAATCCACAGCATCGCACTGTCCACTTTTGCCTCCCTCATTGGGCCATTCGGAGGCTTCTTTGCTAGTGGATTTAAGAGGGCCTTCAAAATCAAGGTGAGGATGGTCAAGGTAATTTCCATTTTAGAAAGGAAAGACTAAATGGTTGCTATCACTCTAAACAGTCTCTGTGCTCCAAGGAGTAGCAGGCTGGGAGCTTTGGGAAGGGGGAGAAGGTTTCTTTGATCACAGATAAAATGCTGGGGCAGGATCTAGATTTTTAGACTGAATGAGGATAGACCTTAACATTTCAAGTGTGGTATTCTAAATGCTGCTTTGGTGCAGAACTGGCAGTAGAGGAAGAAACACCCAGTCAGGAAATTTTGCAATCTGAGGCTTCCCTTGATGTCTTGCAGGGTGGTTTTACATAGAAACAGTCCATGTTCGGTTAAGATGCCTTGAAAGGCAAGACAGGGTTCCAAGAGATAAACATTAGCCTTCCTTGACCTTTGAGTGACAGATCTGAGTGAAGCCTTGATGTCCCTCAGGCACCAGTAAGTCTTCATAAAGGAGAAACTTTTAAAACCAGGGAGAGATTAAACAAAATGTCATCTTAGCCTGACTTTTGTCTTCTGGGAAGAATTAGAGCAAGGCTGTGAGTGTCGTGCATAGAGGTACATAGGGAGGTACAGGTAATGAGCATTTGAGGCTGTTAAATACAATTCCCTTCTGCTTTGCACAGGACTTTGCCAACACAATCCCAGGGCATGGAGGTATCATGGACCGCTTTGACTGTCAGTACCTGATGGCTACCTTCGTTAACGTGTACATCGCAAGCTTTATCAGGTATTTATTGCTTTGCGGTGAAGTTTGGGGACCCTGTCAAACTCAAGTGATCTACAGGCTTGTAATAAGAGACAGTTTTTGTCCCCATGAGATTAACATCTGAAAATACAAGATAAAGAAAGAGAGGAAGTGGAGGCTTGAAGAAGAGAAGCATCTTTCAGCAGGGTAATGCAGAGCTGGAAACACAACCCCCATTTCCCAAGGTCTTTTATTTCAGTCTCTCTGGAACATCTCCATGTCTCTTCTTCATCCCTGTGAACCTTGACCAGAGTTTCCAGAGTTGAACCGGCAGAAAAACATAATTTTGTAGCATTAACAAGTATTCTGTAGCCAAGCATAGAAAAAAGCCTGTAGGTGCATAAAAGATGTAGTGAAGGAGCTGAGGAACTGTCTTTATGTGGCTGCTTTGATTTTTGAGGAGGAGCATCTGCTGATAAGGGAAGATGCACAACCCTCTTGAGACAGATTGGGTTTGGGGTGGTTTTTTTGTTTACACTTCAGCATCCTGTGCCTTTTGAATCCATTTCCACATCTCAAATAGAGTAAAGCTCCCTTGAGTAGAACTGGTGAAGGAATGGGCAACATGGCTATTATTTTATGCGTCTTTATTTTGATGAAATTGCACTTGGGTTCCCAGATCATTAAGACTCAGCAGTGTGACTCACTGATAATGATGCTTTTCTGTTTCAGAGGTCCTAACCCAAGCAAACTGATCCAGCAGTTCTTAACCTTGCGGCCAGACCAGCAGCTCCACATCTTCAACACGCTCAAAGCACACCTTGTTGACAAGGGTATGTTAGGTAGTTTGGAGGATGCATAGACAGCCGGGCGATTGGAACAGGACTGAAAACAGGCAAGCCTCCTCGAGGAAATTCCTGGCTTTCCTGATTTAAGACAATAACAAGGCCTCATTTCACTGTAACTTTTCTTCCTTTCTTGGTAAATGTTTGCATTTGTGGGTTTTTAAAATATATTTATATAGCTTTGGTTCAAATGAGCAAATCTTGGGTTTGTAGCTGAAAAGGAGTTAAAGCTTGGAAGGACTGTTGGGTGAAGTAGGGGGGTAGGACTGTCCTTGTGGTCTGTTCTTAACCTTCGATGCTTATGGGCAGAGCTGAACTTTTCCTGTGAGTGTGTTTACGCAGGGAATACACAAAGCCTTGTCCGTACAACCGCCTCTGCGCGTGGGAGCCAGCAGGAAGGTGAAGCCATGCAGCTCCCCTGGCCGTTGTGCCAGGCTGGGTTCACGATGGCAGCTCTGGGGACCATCATTTTCTCCGGTGGTAACTGTGAATGCAATGTTAATTTTCCCAGAAGGCCACGTTTATGCCTGTGTGCAGTCTCCTTGCAGACTGCCCGGTGAGCACAAGGCTCAGGTAATTGGAAGAGGATCTTGTACTAATCCAATCACATTTCCTCTGCCCAGCCAGGCATGTGCATCTATTTTCACTTGCTGTTTTTTGCAGTGCCTCTCACATTCCCCCCTTATGGCTGATATTTTGGCAAATAAGATTTTTATAAACAATTAAACCAGGAAAGACTGGGGACATACAGTCAAGAAACTGGTATATGCTTGTGGGAATGTGAGAGGTTCAAATTGCTTCAGAACTGAATCGAGTAAATAGGTTTTAAAGAACATTGACGTTTCATTGAGTAATTCCTGCCGAGTAAGAACAACCCTTTAAATAACTTAGTTCTTTTTTCCCCCCTCAAATAACCTTTAAGAAACATTCAACCATGCTTTCTCATTTCTCAGTGGTTGGAAACCCTGCACTGAGATATTTCAACTAATTTGGAGAGCAGTTTCCAACTTGGTTTTCTTTTTTTTTTTTGTAGGTTTTTTTTCCTGAAGTTTGCAGGTTGAGGCTCCAGCACCCCGCTGGTGCTGTCAGACAGGTTATTTTGTTTTTCTTTCAGGGATCATGTCTATCACCTGTTTGTTACTTGAGTTCTTGATGTCATGCTGCTGAGTTTATCGTGGTTTATGTTGCATTTCAGTCTGGGTTCATTTACTTGCAGGTTTCTGTCCTGCTTTGCTTACTAAATCTTGTCATAAATAGTTTGTACTTAACAGTTGCAAGTTTTATCTAAGTACTTTCCTTTATTTTGTCATACTTTTTTATTATTTAAAAATGAGAGCCCTAAAGATTGTAAAACTTCTTTTTTGTGATCGGAGAGTGAGAATATCCCCAGTTTATGCCTTATGCAATGTTCCTAAATACAGGGTGACTCTGATTTTACTTCTTTCCATAGTTTATGCATGGGAGAGAGAAACTTTACCTTTTTTTTAACCTGGGGAACATGTGACAGGGAAAGATAATACAGAATTACATTGCTGTTTGCAGTTGCCGATATAAACCTTATATACAGACATCCCCCCCATATGGAGACATGTACACGCTGCAAGCCTACTAAGCATCGACAGAAAATAAACCACCTGAAAATAACTTCATAGTTCATACTCCATATTGTGATTTTGCCATTGCTTCCATTTACCCTGAGTGATCCAGAGAGTGTGTGTGCATGTGTAAATACATTAACAGATGCCAACCTCTCTCTTACATTTCTACAGGATTCCTTCTGTGTTATAAGCTCTGCTTCATCTCCCTAAACAGGAACCAGGAGGCAGAAGTTTGTGCCCATTGTACTGCAAGTACAGGTATTTGATCGAAAGCACAGATTTGGGAGAAGAAGGGTCCGTTCCACAAAGGATTTTCAGCGTGTTACTGGCAAAGTTGCTGGCTTCTGGCAGGAGCCAAGACTGTTATGATGGGGCCAGTTCAGGATGGCGTTTGGTTAATGCCAGTGGTGTACGAAGAGGCTTTTCCTGGACTAGTTGTGGAGACTGTTCCCTTCCACCTTCCCTTAGGCAGGGATTTATTTTCTGTTGACTTAGAGGATATTGGTCCAAGCCCCTAATTTGAAAATTGGAGGACAGAATTAAGGTGCTTCCATCTTGCTTTGCCCAGGGAGAATATTTTCATCTGCATTTCATGACAATTTGGCTGAGTTTAGCTGGGCAAAGTGAGGGCACATGCAAGGAGTACCCAGGCTGGGAATAAATGTGGAAGTGACAGGGTTTTGTGTAGTCCCTGGAAAGCAGTTTGCCCTGTGGGGTCAGACGAGCTGGTGCTTTTCTGGACTCTCCCTGCCCGTAGGCAACATCTGCCAAGATCCCTTGTAGTGCACTGTTGGGTCATTAAATCAGTCATCAGAAGAAGCTATGGTGTTGATAAATATTATAAAAGTGTACTGCTCTTTATAGTAAGAAACTTTTCATATGGGTCTTTAGTTTCCTGCTCGTCTTGCTTTAAACCTTTTGTACCTCTTTAGTTGTAATTAGTGGGGCAAAAATCGAATGCAAAGGTTTTCTGCGTGCTTTTTGAGTTGAAGCATTTGGGCCTTTTCGAAGGGTGTAGTGCTGGATGTGGACACTGGAGGGCAAAGCAGTTGCATTCAGTGGCTTCCTAGAGCTCGGAGAGAAGCAGCAATAATAATGCATGTGGGTGGCTTTCCCGATGAACTTGCAGCTTTATTCTTGCTTCATTCCCAGCAGTGCAGTTGAAGGGTGGACTTCCAAGCCTATTTTGAGGGTAAAGCTACGTGGAAAGGGTTTAGCATCGTGCACTGAGGTTTAGTAAACTGAATGGGAACAGCACATCCATTTGAGAAATAGAAGAAGGGAGGGAGGGAGATGGGGGTTGTTAAGATTATTTGCAAGCTGTACAGCTGATCTTTCTAAGAAGTACTGGTGAGCACCATGAGGACTGGTGTCCTTTGTTGAGAAGAGAGCTGGGCAAACCCTTTCCTACACTGCTGGTATCAATATATGTGATAGTACTACTCAGCTTTTAGCGACAGCCTGTTGTCTGGGGAAGCATTTGGTGGGTTTTCACCATCAGCCCAGCCTGTGAGTGGCTTTAGTTTGCTGTAGAGATTTCAAATTAGACTTAGAGGAAATGAAAAGCTGCCACTGCTGCCTCTGGCTAGCTCAAGGAGTTAACTGTAGCAAAGACATGCTGCATTTCTTTTCATTCCATTAAACCTTGCAGGACCTTGGCCGTGCTACAGCTCTCACAAGAATGTAGGTTTGGAGGGAAGCTGACGTAGGTAGTGCTGTTGGAGAGGCCAGGGGTGTCTAGGTAAGGTGATGCAGGGATGCTCAGGTGAATTTTCTCCTGCTGTAGGGCTTGAGCTCAGCACTGCATAAGATTTAGTTCACAGTGGGCTCCATGACCAGAGAAGTTCTTCCTGCTTGTGCCCAGCAAGAGGGAAATAACTGTGAGAGCAGCCCAGCAAGGGGGAGGTACCGTGTCAAGCAGCGGGTGTGCTTGGGTCAGAAGGAAAAGTAGGATCTGGCCAATGTGAAGCTTAGGAGGGTATGACTGGCAGGGGACAGGCTGGTGTGGAAACCACCTCCTCACAAGCAGTCACTGCTTTTCCAGTTGGAGCAGACAGAGGGGGATGTGAGCGTATTTAATGAACAAAGGGATGGCATGTGGCTAGAAAACTGCTTTTGCATAGCGTGAGAAGCTGGCTGTCCTGGGGAGGTGACTCTAAACGTTCATGACGTTTGTTTGCTGGTGGATGATTTAGTGATATGGGTTGGACACTGGTTTGATCCACAGTCTGAGCTGGCACAGCTGGGCTACGTCTGTGTAGATGAGTGCTTGGCATGCTCTGATAGGAATTTGCTTCTCCAAGTCTGGTTTTAGCCCAAATTAGTTTGCAGATTGGATGCACGGCCAGACCATGGCCTGCAGTGCTCAACAAACCATCCCCGCATATGGTGTCAAGGCCTGTGCTGATCAGCATGGATTATTTAGATATTCTTCAGGGTGATGGGCTCAGAAGTCTGCTGACACTGATCTGAAGGGGCAGCCACTGCCTGAGTTTGTGCAGCTTGTGAAGAAATCCCGTAGCATCAGCTAATCCTTGGCACCAGGTTGTGAAATGTCAGTGTCTTATATTCCAAGGTATGTCTCCTGTTTCCGATGAGTGCAGCGAGTTCCTCTGAGCATGATTGTGGTGGGATCCTGGCATCTCTTCCTTCCCCCACCTTCTCTGACCGACTCTTTATGATGGGAGGAGGGAAAAGTTGTGTGGAAAGCATCCATACGGCTCATCCAGACCTCCTGGGGACAGGTGTTTGTCACAAAAAGCATCGTGTGAAAGCTCCTGTGGTTTCTGCCCTCTGTACCCAGCCCCGGAGCTGCATTTTGTACCACTGTCATCTTTGTGTGCTCCTGTTCTCCAGACATGATGTCTTTCTACCATCTGCTTTTTCTCTGTGCATTGTTCTTTTGATTAATGTTTTAGCTACACATGTAGAGTCTCCTTTCTTTGACCGAATGTCCGAATGTGATATATTGTATATTTTAAAGTATTTACCCTATTTATATACTATATGTTACTGTTAAATAAATATAAGTTCCATTATCTGGAGTGGAGTTTTATTCGGCGCTGTTGACAAGTCGAGGAGATGCTGAAAACCTCCTTCCTGTGCTCTGTAGAGCAGATCAGTCTGTTTAAACTCAGATTTTTTCATTCCTTGCCCTAGCTCTCCTTCCTCAAGGATCTTCCCAAGAGCAGACCTGGTTGTGGCAAAGACACACATGAAGGCTGCAGAGGGACTGAGCACACAGGCAGGATTGGGCCATCCGTGTCCTGCACGAGGGACACAAACGGCTGCGTTTCCAGAGCGGTTTGTAGTGGAAGCTGTGATCAGATCATACCAGCCCATCTTGATCAAAGATGAGCAAGTCTTGGCACTGCTGCCCTCTGCAAATCAGCTCATTTTGCCCTAAAGATTTCACTGGGGATATGAAAAACTGTTGGAATTCCACTTAGCATAAATTATTGCTTTATTTCAGCCATTGCTTCTGACTTGTGTGGGGTTAGGAGAGCAGAATCCTTCTGTTTACCCGGCAAAACATCCTATTTTTAGCTCTTATGTTATTTTGACTGTTTTTGACTTATCAGCTAAGCCAAACCAACCCATCAGCAGACCTCTTTTTGCTTCCTGTCACACTATATGGGCATTTTCAGACAAATTAATCCTCCAGCAACAACAAAATACGATGCCCTCTCTTTCTCTATAGCAACCTTGCAAA